GCTCTGGGGTCAGAAGCAGCCCTTGGCCCAAAGCCAGGGTTGAAGTCATCATGAGACACTCAGAGGCCAGAGGGTGCCCCCAGCCCTGATCCCCACATGGCCCCTCCCCTGTCTGGGGTGTCTTGGGCACAGCAACAGTCATCTGGGTTGCCAACCTCCTCCTGCTTGGGCAGGGCCCAGGGTGACGGGCCTGGCCCCACAGGAAGGCCCTGCACAGGTTGTTAGTTATGCATTTGCAGGCTATTATTAACCCGCAGTGACATCACCAGCAGCCAATGGGAGGCAGGTTTATTTCCAGGTCTGACAGCTTGATAACAGTTAATTTTAGCTGGATCTTCTTTCCTGAGGCTGGTGAAACCCTAGCCAGCCAAAGAGGGGGCCGCCTGTGTCTCCCCAAATGGCTCCAGGAGGGGGGCTGGGAAGGGGTGGGGTCTGCACCTTTTCCTTCTGTCCTGCTCCCCAGAAGGAGCCTTGGTCGGCTGGGGACCCTCCCTGCTCACCACCCTCCTCCGCCCTTGGCTGCTATGGGGGCCACTGTGACCAGTGACTTAGATGTGGAGGGAGGGCTATGGAGGGGGCCAAGGCCTGACGGGGCGGGGGGAAGGTGGGAAAAGCACAGGCATGGCCACAGGTGCAACTCTGCTCTGTCAGGAAGTCACACTGGCCTGCCTCAGGGCTCCTGAGCCACCCATGTGGCCTCGGGCAGGGGCTTATCTTCTCTGTGCCCAGGTGCCTCATGGACTCTCAAGGTCCTGGGGCCTCCCTGGGAGGGCGTCCTGGTAGCCCCCACCTGGCGTGTGGTGAATGTCATCTAGTATGTGCTGTCGTTACTTAGTATTGCTTAGTACTTACTATTCATTTGGTACTATTTAGTAGTTAGTAGCTGTTGTAGTCTGTTTTGTGCTGCTATAGCAGAATACCATGGACTGGGTAGTTTATACAGAACAGAAATTTATTTCTCACAGTTCTAGAGACTGGAAGTCTGAGATCAAGGTGCGCACAGGTGATGAGGGTCTTCCTGCACAGTGGAAGGCGGAAGGGTGAGGGAGAGAGAGAGAGACCCCCCACTCCCATGAGCCCCTTCCACAGCAGTGCCAATCACCCTAGAGGGCGGGGTCTGTACCACCCAACACCTCTCGAAAGGCGCCACCCCCCAACACTGCTGAACCGGGGATCAAGTTTCCAACACATGCGTTTTGGAGGACACGTTCAGACCACAGCAGTAGTCACTCAGCATTGTGTAGTGGTTAGTAGTGGTCGAGCACCGTGCAGCAGTTAGCAGTCCTTTAGCGCTGTTGGAACATCATTGTTTAGCATTATCACCTCACTGAGCCTAATTTGCTGCATATTCTGAGTGTCCCAGGGTGCGAGTCGCCCTGCAGGTCAGCACCCTGCAAATGGGCATATCCTGGTGACACAGAGGCCCTGTGGAGCAGCTGCCTGGCACCCTTCCCCAGGGTCTGCCCAGAGGCGTCCTCCTCCTCTGGGTGGCATGGCCTCCCCACCACAGGTGAGCCCCTGGCCCAGGAACTTGCCAGTTAACCGTGATGGGAGAGCCGGCAGCAGAGTGCAGCAGCTCAGCCCCGCACCAGGAGGAGTGTCTGACAAAGACCCCTGAGGCTGCAGGCAGCCAAAGTCCTGGGTGCTGCAGGTCCCTAAGGGGAAGTGGGGGCTGGCATCCCCAGGGACCCAGCCTCCCGCCCACTTTGTCTGGCTAACCCCGCCTGGCTAGTCACAGCATCCGCAGCAAGCCAGCCCGCTGAATCCTGGCCTAACCCTCAGGCGAGAAGGGAGGCATTAAATATAGAGACCAGCTGGGTGGGGGGGTCTCGCTCTCTCACCAGGCAGTTATTTTTAATTCCTGGCTCACATTGGATGGTATCAGCAGCACTCGAAAGTGCCGGGTCATCCGAGAGGCCCTCTCGGCCTCCCTCCCACCTGTGGCTATGGCCAGGGAGTTAGGAGTCCCTGGGCTCCCATGGGGCCAACACAGGGATGGCACACCAGAGGGGCCTGTCCCCTCCCTGAGCGACCCTCCCCAAGGACAGGGAGAACTGCTTGGCTCCCAGCCACTGCCCTGGCCTCAGCCTTTCCTTCCTCCTCACACCTGCCAGCTGGCCTGCGGTGGTCCCGTCTCTGAGGACTCCCCACCCTGGGCCCTGCCCTGGGCCTCTTGCATGTAGACCCAGTGGACACTCACAGCAGGGCTGAGAGAATGAGCCTAATGCCTGCTCCCCCACTCAGTACACATCTCCTGAGACCCCTCTATCATCTGCCGGGCCTGGATCCTGCAGTTGGGAGTCAGACGGGGAGACAGCATGGGCAATGTGAACACCTGGGGCCTGCTCCCCCACTCAGTACACATCTCCTGAGACCCCTCTATCATCTGCTGGGCCTGGATCCTGCAGTTGGGAGTCAGACGGGGAGACAGCATGGGCAATGTGAACACCTGGTGAGACTGGGGGTCTTGGAAAGAAGCCCCCGACCTCGGTCTTTCCACAGCACATGGCTGCCACATCCCCTCCTTAAAACCCACTGTGCTTACTACCTCGTCTGCCCAGGACCCTCAGGACTCCTCCCTTCCTACAGAACGTAGCTCCTCTGCGGCTTGGCACTCGGACCCTGAGGGCCAGGAGCGAGGTGCTGGGCTCAGCTGGGTCAGGCTGGGCTGTTTGGACCTGGTTTATCTCACTGACCGATGCTGTTTTCTGGGAACGGCACCCATGAGTGCACACCATGGCGTCCCTCGCAGATAACTGTGGGCTCTGCAAGCAGGCTTCAAGCATTCGCTGGCCTTGGGGGACAGGGTGGAAAAGGGTCCTTTCCAGGGCCTCAGAGGAGGGTGGTTCTGGCTGGTTCTGTTGACAGAGCCTGGGTCCTGCCCTGACAAGCCCCTGTGCACAGGCACTGGGGCAGGGGGCCCAGAAACAAGCAGATTCTGAGGTCCCACCCAGAGAGGGACAGAACACAGCTTCACTGGGCATCCGTCACGAGCAGGGCCAGACCGGGCACTGAGAGATGCACACCCGGACATTGGCCCGGGGCCCGGACCCCCGAGCCCCCGGTGGCCTCTGTCTGCAGGCGGCAGCCTGACTCACCGCGCGGCCCCAGAATCTGCCCCCGACCCGCGGGCCTTGCGTCCCTGCAGTGCGGCCCCATCCCGGGGGTCTCCCTTGCG